ATGACTTCCCCCATCCTCTGAAGCCTCCTGGCTGCTCTAAACAGGCTGAAGATGGGATTCTCCTTCTTCCGCCCTCCCAAAGCTTCAGTGTTTTTTCCCCGTGACGACTGGGATGGTGGCTGGGGCTGCAGGCAGTGGGTGAGGGACTCTTGTTGTTGCAGATGCGGGTGACCTTCGAGGAGGTGGCTGTGTATTTCACCCCGGGGCAGGGGGCGCTGCTGGGCCCCGCTCAGAGAGCCCTCTACAGGGACGTCATGCAGGAGAACTACGAGGCGGTGACCTCGCTGGGTAAGGGCGTCCTGGCCCCTCGGGGATTAGGAGCCGTGGGGTCTGGGTGTCCGACACGGGTCAGGTTCTTCCCTGCTCAGAGAAATGAAGGGACTGGGTTACCCAGGACACAGCTGCCCCATGACAGAGACTTGCATCTCTTCCCTCTCCTGTGGGACACGGTGTCAAAGCCTAATGGACGTGCTGAGCACACGTGTAATATGAGCACACCCAGCGCTGCAGCACCTCCTGCTGGCCAGTCCGAGAATTAGCTCTTGCCAGCTCTGAGGCGCCCTCCTCCAGCCGAGTCCCACCTGCTATTTCTGGACCTTCCCTTCTCCACCGTGCCAGGCCCTGCATCCCTCTCAGACAGCAGCCTCCCCATGGGTCCTGCCCCCTGGCTGTGTCCACTCTTGGGTCCTCACTCACTTCCCTCTGAGCTGCATGGCCAGTGCGGTAGCTCAGGGCCACAGCCTGGCAGCTAATCCGGTTGGCTGGCTCTCTGGCTGCTCCATCTCCCTGTGTATCTCTCTAGGCAGCAAGTCCTTCTCTCTCTGGAGTCGGAGACAGACTGAGCGCCCTCTTCCTTCAGTTTTATATCCCCCAGCCAGGCCCTGATTGGCTGCCTCAAGCCTTCGCCCAATTGGCTCCAATTCTCTCCAAGCCTTGTTTCAACCCCTTCTTAGCCAGCACGGGAGTCCCACCCTGTCACATCTCCCTCCCTTCCATCCTTCAGAGGGGAGGAAGTCATTCTGTTCTGTCTGTATTGATTCTCGTTCACACATAGAATCCTTATTTACCTCCCTCCTTGGGACGAGCTCCAGCCATGGGGAGGGCTCTGAGCTCTGCAGGTTTAGAAACAGGCAGGGGTGTAACTGCAGAGCTGTGAGTGTCAGCAAGGGCCCCAGACTGCCCAGATCCTGGGAACTCCTAGGGAGGGTGCAAAAATTCTCCTGATCTCCCCAGTCATCAGCTTCTCCCCAGGGGGCTCAGTGACCATGTTCCCGTCCTCTTGGGTTGCACATTCCCCAGCAGAGCCCGGGGACAGGTTCCACTCACGGAATGTCCCTTGGGACAGACGCTCTCCCCACCCTCCCTGCGCCCTGATCTGCTCTGATTTCACCCCCTGCGCAGGGTTTCCTGTTCCCAAACCTGAGCTGATCGCCCGGCTGGAACGAGGGGAAGAGCCCTGGGTGCCCGACCTCCAGGCCGGGGAGGAAAGAGAGATCCGGAGAGGCACCCGCACAGGTGAGGACTGACACATCCACCAGCTGGTTTCTGAAGGAAAAAGTTAAGAATCCCCAAAATGTGGTGTGAGTAAGTGCCCTGAGTTTTCCCTTCTCTCACGCAGGGCAGGGCTGTCATCAGCAGGTATCATAGAATCAGAGACTGCTAGGGCTGGAAGAGACCTCAGAAGGTCATCAAGTCCAGCCCTCTGCCCAAAGCAGGACCAACTCCAACTCAAATCATCCCAGCCAGGGCTTTGTCAAGCCAAAACTTAAAAACCTCTAGGGATGGAGATTCTACCCTCTCCCTAGGTAATGCATCCCACTGCTTCTCCACCCTCCTAAGGAAATAGTTCTTCCTAATCATAGAATCATAGAATCATAGAATCATAGGACTGGAAGGGACCTCGAGAGGTCATCGAGTCCAGCCCCCCGCCCTCAAGGCAGGACCAAGCTCCGTCTACACCATCCCTGACAGATGTCTATCTAACCTGTTCTTAAATATCTCCAGAGAGGGAGATTCCACCACCTCCCTTGGCAATTTATTCCAATATTTGACCACCCTGACAGTTAGGAATGTTTTCCTAATGTCCAATCTAAACCTCCCCTGCTGCACTTTAAGCCCATTACTCCATGTCCTGTCCTCAGAAACCAAGAGGAACAAATTTTCGCCTTCCTCCTTGTGACACCCTTTTAGATATTTGAAAACCACTATCATGTCCCCCCTTAATCTTCTTTTTTCCAAACTAAACAAGCCCAGTTCATGAAGCCTGGCTTCATAGGCTTCTCTAGACCTTTAATCATTCTTGTCACTCTTCTCTGTACCCTTTCCAATTTCTCCACATCTTTCTTGAAATGTGGCGCCCAGAACTGGACACAGTACTCCAGCTGAGGCCTAACTAGTGCAGAATAGAGCGGCAGAATGACTTCACGAGTTTTGCTTACAACACACCTGTTGATACAACCTAGAATCATATTTGCTTTTTTGGCAACAGCATCACACTGTTGACTCATATTCAACTTGTGGTCCACTATGACCCCTAGATCCCTTTCCGCCATGCTCCTTCCTAGACAGTCGCTTCCCATCTTGTATGTATGGAACTGATTGTTCCTTCCTAAGTGGAGCACTCTGCATTTCTCCTTATTAAACCTCATCCTGTTTACCTCCGACCATTTCTCTAACTTGCTAAGGTCATTTTGAATTATGTCCCTATCCTCCAAAGAAGTTGCAACCCCACCCAGTTTGGTATCATCTGCAAACTTAATAAGAGTACTCTCTATCCCAATATCTACATCATTGATGAAGATATTGAACAGTACGTGTGTGAGAAGTGCGTGTGTGTGTGTGAGAGAAGAGCGTGTGTGTGAGAAGAGCGTGTGTGAGAGAAGTGCGTGTGTGAGAGGCTCTCTGCTGCAGACCAAATAAGCCCAAATCCCTCAGCCTCCTCTCATAGGCATCACTCACAATGGCAGGCATTTCCGTCCTGTGCTTCCTACCCTGAGTGTGTGTGTGTGTGTGTGTGACAGAAGTGTGTGTGTGTGTGTGTGAAGTGCGTGTGTGTGTGAAGTGTGTGAGAGAGAGAAGTGCGTGCGTGTGTGAGAGAGAAGTGCGTGTGTGTGTGAAGTGCGTGTGTGAGAAGTGCGTGTGTGTGTGTGAGAGAAGAGCGTGTGTGTGAGAAGAGCGTGTGTGAGAGAAGTGCGTGTGTGAGAGAAGAGCGTGTGTGTGAGAGAAGTGTGCGTGTGTGTGTGAAGTGCGTGAGTGCGTGTGAGAGAAGTGCGTGTGTGAGAAGTGTGTGTGAGAGAGAAGTGCATGTGTGTGTGTGTGTGTGAGAGAGAAGTGCGTGTGTGTGAGAGAGAAGTGTGCGTGTGTGTGAAGTGCGTAAGTGCGTGTAAGAGAGAGAAGTGCGTGCGTGTGTGAGAGAAGTGCGTGTGTGTGAGAGAAGTGCGTGTGTGTGTGTGCGTGTGTGTGTGAAGTGCATATAGAATCCCATTGCTCCATCTGTGCAATTTCAGTGTGTTGGGTTTTCCCTTGGTGCTGTGTCTCTTTCTCCCCAGCTCAGTGACTCCTGCCTGGATTGTCTCTCTCTCCCAGCAGGTGATGAGAATGCAAGTGAGATGGAGGAAAGGAATCAACAGAAGGAAGTTTATGAGGAAATGGACCCAGAATGGCCCTTTGTGGTACCAGCTACAGGGACTTTTCCACCGTACTTGGAACAGAATGAAGCCTGGGGACATTGGCGCAGCTCAGAGAGGCTGCTGGGAAACTACCCGAGGAAGAAAGTGCATACATCTGGGAGAGGAGACAAGGATCCCACGGCCCAGCAGACTGATCCCAAAGAAGAGAAATCCCACCAGTGCCTGCAGTGTGGGGGAGGCTTCATTCTGAGATCCCACCTCGAGACACCTGGGACAATCCATTCCGGAGAGAAACCCCTTCAAAGCTTGGACTGTGGAGAAAGCTTCAATCCCTGCTCAGACCTTAATAACCAAGGGAGAAACCACCCAGGAGAGAAACCCTGTCAGTTCCTGAAGTGTGGGAACTGTTTGAATGGGAAATGGGCACCAGTCACACGGCGGAAGAATCATACAGGAAAGAGACCCCATAAGTGCTTAGATTGTGGGAAAAGTTACATACAGAGGTCAGACCTTGTGAAACATCAGGTAATCCACACAGGAGAGAAGCCCCATCAGTGTCTGGAGTGTGGGAAATGTTTCAGGCTGAGATCAACTCTTGTAAACCATCAAAGGATCCACACTGGGGAGAGACCCCATAAGTGCTTGGAGTGTGGGAAAAGTTTCACACGGAGATCAGACCTCGTCAGGCATCTGGCAATCCACATTGCAGAGAGACCCCACAAGTGCTTAGACTGTGGGAAAAGTTTTGTACAGAGGTCAGACCTTGTTGCTCATCAGAGAATCCACACAGGAGAGAGACCCCACAAGTGTTTGGACTGTGGGAAAAGTTTCAGGGTCAAGTCAGCCCTTCATAAACATCAGGCAAACCACACGGGAGAGACAATCCATAAGTGTTTAGTCTGTGGGAAAAATTTCATATGGAGGTCGGAGTTTGTTAGACATCAGGCTATTCACACCGGAGAAAAGCCCCATCAGTGCTTGGACTGTGGGAAAAGTTTCATACGGAGGTCAGACCTTGTTAGACATCAGTCAATCCACTCAGGCGAGAAACCCCATAAGTGCTTAGACTGTGGAAAAAGTTTCATACAGAGATCCATTCTTGTAAATCATCAGAGAATCCACACTGGGGAGAGACCCTTTAAGTGCTCAGACTGTGGGAAAAGCTACATACAGAAGTCACACCTCAGTACGCATAGAAGAATTCACACAGGGCCTAAAATTTTGTGACTCTTCCCAAGAAAGGCGTAAGCAACATGCAGCCTAATTGGCTGATTCACCCTTTAGAGACATATTAGAAATGTGTCAATGGTGAGTAGGTTCCATTCCACATTAGCTGTGAAAAGTGAACTTTTGTTATTAAAGACCTGGAAGAAGAGATTGAAAAGTTTTTTTTGCAGCGAATGGTTCAGACAAAGTCCAGGCATGTCCAAGTTCACAACAGAAGGTAAAGTGAATCCAGAGTCAGTGATGGGTTATAAGGGGAAACAAGGGAGCATGATCCACATTAAAACCAATAGGTGTAACCCGCCTTGTCCTGGGTGTAGGTGGGGTGGTTTATAAAAGTCAGGCCATAAGGGTTCTCGGGGCTGTCATCCACAGAGCGAAGTCTCTGGCAAAGTTCATAGTTTCATGGGTGGAGCGCGCCCCGCGATGTGAAGTATCCTCGGTCCTCTTTGGTCCCGTGGTCTTCCTGAAACAATAAAAACAGAGTCTGCCAGGTACGGAAGCGGAGGCTTCGCCTTGCCCCCTCATGGTCCACCTATGTCGTCCCTTGTCGTCCATAATGGGTGGATTTGCAGGAAATACATAGTCGGTCAGGGAGGCTGCAGGCCCTGTCCCTGACCTGGGTCCTTGGCAGTGGTCACGTTTGGTCATGAGCATCCCTCATCGACGATCTTTCCTGGCACCGGTGGAAAGAACCAAAGCCTAAAGGGGAAAGAAGTGGGTGACCTTCCTTGGTGCACAACTTCATGTGGCTCTTTAGTAGCAGAGTCCCGAGTCAGGGAGGGCGATGGGAGCTTTTCCTGACCGTGTCCCTTGTCAATAGTCTCTGTCACTCGGTGTCCCTTGTCAGTAGTGTCAGAAAAGGCAAAGGTCCTGTGTCCGTATGGTGAGTCCGATGTGGCAGGGACCGTCACTTCTCTTGGTATTGGCGGTGGCCTAGGATGTGCTCCATGATCTCCCGGGACCACCTCATGGCGTCGGAGACCATCAGCCATCTCATGAGGTGGGAGTAGCGTGGACGGACACAGCAGGCTTCCAGCACTGCCTCCTTGTGGGGGGCCCCACGCTCCTGCCAGCAGGGCGTGGATCCCCATGTTGTAGCCCCTGGGGCCCTCATGGTGTCCACCGGTAAGATGCTGATTCACGATGCTTCAGACTCTGGTCAGTTTTCAACTTTGGTTTTAAGAGTTTGGGTACGTCTAGATTGCAGGCTTCTTTCGGAAGAAGCTTTTCTGGAAGAGATCTTCCGAAAAAACCTTTTCTGAAAGAGAGCGTCCACATGGCAAAAGCACATCAAAAAAGCAATCTGTTTTTTCGAAAGAAAAGCATCCACACTCATTGGACGCTCTGTTGCATGTAAGCAGTGATTACTATGGGCGGAATGGACACCAGGGCACCTGTGCTTTTTCCTGGAGGCCTCTTCTTGCGAGAGAACTCCCTCGTCTGCATCCACACGCCTTTTTCTGAAAGAGCTCTTTCAGAAAAGGCATTCTTCTTCGTAGAATGAGGTTTACTAATGTCAGAAAAATCCCTGCGTTCTTTCGATTTTCTTTCGAAAGAACGTGATTGCAGTGTGGATGTACGCAAACTTTTTTCAGAAAAATGGCCATTTATCCGGAAAAACCCTGGGCTGTGTCTACACTGGCCACTTATTCCAGAAAATCAGCCGCTTTTCCGGAATAACTTGCCAGCTGTCTACACTGGCCCCTTGAATTTCCGGAAAAGCACTAACGATCTACTGTAAGAAATCAGCCGCTTTTCCGGAAATACTATGCTGCTCCCATTCGGGCAAAAGTCCTTTTTCCAGAAAACTGTTCCGGAAAAGGACCAGTGTAGACAGCATAGTAGTGTTTTCCGCAAAAAAGCCCCGATTGCGAAAATGACAATCGGGGCTTTTTTGCGGAAAAGCACGTCTAGATTGGCCACGGACGCTTTTCCGGAAAAAGTGCTTTTCCGGAAAAGCATCCTGCCAATGTAGATGTGCTTTTTCCGGAAATACTTATAATGGAAAACTGTTCCGTTTTAAGCATTTCCGGAAAAGGGTGCCAGTGTAGATGTAGCCCTGAAGTCTAGATGCACCCTTTCAGATCACACATGGAACCTACTGGGTAAAATTTCGATCCCTTAAGAAAGGGGCTGGGCTGCGTAATGTGGCATATGTGACCCACGTAAGCGATTTGCTGGACAAGTGGGGCAGAGGGAAGGGACTTACAGGCCCCAAGGAGATGTGCGATTTCATTGTTGAGGAGCAGCTCTGGAATATAGAATCATAGAATAATAGGACTGGAAGGGACCTCGAGAGGTCATCGAGTCCAGCCCCCCGCCCTCAAGGCAGGACCACGCTCCGTCTACACCATCCCTGACAGATGTCTATTTAACCTGTTCTTAAATATCTCCAGAGAGGGAGATTCCACCACCTCCCTTGGCAATTTATTCCAATATTTGACCGCCCTGACAGTTAGGAATTTTTTCCTAATGTCCAATCTAAACCTCCCCTGCTGCACTTTAAGCCCATTACTCCTTGTCCTGTCCTCAGAAACCAAGAGGAACAAATTTTCTCCTTCCTCCTTGTGACACCCTTTTAGATATTTGAAAACCGCTATCATGTCCCCCCTTAATTTTCTTTTTTCCAAACTAAACAAGCACAGTCCATGAAGCCTGGCTTCATAGGTCATGTTCTCTAAACCTTTAATCATTCTTGTCGCTCTTCTCTGTACTCTTTCCAATTTCTCCACATCTTTCTTGAAATGTGGCGCCCAGAACTGGACACAGTACTCCAGCTGAGGCCTAACTAGTGCAGAGTAGAGCGGCAGAATGACTTCACGAGTTTTGCTTACAACACACTTGTTGATACAACCTAGAATCATATTTGCTTTTTTTGCAACAGCATCACACTGTTGACTCATATTCAACTTGTGGTCCACTATGACCCCTAGATCCCTTTCCGCCATGCTCCTTCCTAGACAGTCGCTTCCCATCTTGTATGTATGGAACTGATTGTTCCTTCCTAAGTGGAGCACTTTGCATTTCTCTTTATTAAACCTCATCCTGTTTGCCTCTGACCATTTCTCTAACTTGCTATCACAGGATGATAGTAAACAGAGCTGTGCCCACACCGAGGCTTCCTGGACAGTGGCTACTTGCCACACAGAGTCTGTAAACACCTGAAGGTTGTCCAGGTGCTTGGCCAGGATATCCCTGCATGGAAGGATAGTAGTGCAGAGGTTTCTGTAGTCTGGAAGGATCAGAGAGATGGAGAAAATTCATTCTGGGAATGTGGCAGCATTAGAATGGGTGGGAGGCGAAAAACCCTGGGTCTGGATCTGTAATCCCAGGCTGCCCACCTGTCATTCAGGTTTCTAGCGGGGAGTTCCGAAGGTTTCTCTGGGGTAGGACATGTGGTCAGAATTAGCAGGCCCATCTCTTTAACCTTTGCCGGGTTTCCTGGTGTGAACTGCGACTCTGGCAGAACAAGTGTAGGCTCATGCCAGTGCTCTGGGCCACTTCACTTGTGTGTTAGGATAGGCTAGATCAGTGGTTCCTAACCTTTTCAAGCATAGGGACCCCTTTTCAATCTATTAAAATGTCATGGACCCCCCCACCCCTTTCCTGTGGGAGGAAAAAAAAAAGAGAGGAAAAGAGGAAAAAAGAAAAAACAAGAAGGAAAAAGGAGAAAGCGAAAAAGAAAAAAAAAGAACG